GTCTGAAATGAGCTGTTCAAATGTAATAAATTTTTGTAATAAATGTGCTACTTTTGATAGACAGACAGACCAAAAAGTAGCACATCTATAATAACGGGAATCACCCATTGTTACACCATTTTTCATTTTTAGAGATGCTTTGTTTGACACCGGCATGTCATATGTCACAAGACGAGTACCGTACCCTACATACGTACAGTACGGTAACACTGTACTGATCACTCCGTTCCCCTTTTTACCTTTTGCAATCCCCCTTAGTACGTCACCCAATATGATCGGACAGATCCCCTTAGTCCATACACGTTGAACCTGGATCATGCATGATTGAACTCCATTTTAGTTTGTTGTTTTGGAATTTTTTCGAACGATGGATGATTTAGAAATATCACGTCATCGTGGGAGTAATGGAGACACGCTGTTAGTAGTAGTACAGTAAGGTAGAGTACTGAGTCGAACAGCTACAATTAATAGAAGTAATTATCACCAACAAAACCGTACTCATTTTTATACAATCGGGGTCTGATCCAAAGAAATCTGTACTAGCGTCGAATTGGACACCATCGAGATAACAACCATGATGAAGCAAACATTGTTGTCTTCCCTGTTGGTGACGCTGTTCGCCGCGCCCTCGTTGTCCTTCGTCCCGCAGTCGCAACGAGGATACATTGGCCAGAACGCCGGTCGAATGAATAGGATATTGCCTTCGCAGCGTGCCGCGGGGTCTTCGGATGACGATATTTCCACGGCGACTACGGAATCGACAACGGACAGCGACGAAAACGACACCGGCGCCGACGCTGGCAAGCGGTCCTCCGTCTTTAGTGAATCGGTTCAGGAGGAAGCCCGGGAAGTCTTGGAAAAGGTCGGCTGGGCCGGTGTTGCTCCCGACATGAGCGATCCCGAACAACCCATGACGTCCGATGATCCGTTTGTGCAGAACATCGACGCTGGAATCCGCGAGGATTTCGGGGTGGGACTGGACGATTTGCTGAACCCCGCGAAAGTCGTCAACCTGGAACGTGAACTGTATCAATTGAGAGAAGAATTGGAAGGCACAACCGACGAGTCGACAATCCAGTCCATCACGAAATCGATCGAGAAAAAAGAAGGAAAATTGGCAATCGAACGTCGTTCAGTCTTCCGCGGTTGGTTGAAAAACATCTTTGTTGGACAAGCCGTGATCAGTTTTGGAATTAGTTATGTCATGGCGACGAACCCGTCGAGTTTGTTTGGGGGTTTCGATTGGTATTACTATAACAGCATGTGAGTGATGAAGATTGAGGTTGCAACGGGTAGGGCTCTCTCCTGTGACTCTTTTTTGCGTTTGGTTGTTGCCACAATCCGCTTGGGTCTGTTTTTTCTGATTTTTTTTTCTCGACTGCTTGTCCATCATGGGAACCGCTTTGTACCTATTTGTTAATGATCGCGATTACGAACCTCGAAAATAGGGATATTTCCATTCAGGTATTGGGATACTGGTTTTGGTGGTTGTTCATCGTCCCGTCGTTGCGTTCGCGACGTCCCCGTGGATTCGAAAAGGAGGCTCTGGACATCGCCTTTTTGGGCACACCCCTCGTGAGCCTCGCGGCACCGGTTCTCACCAAAGACACCGGGTTGATTTGGTTTGCGAACTTTGTCATCGTAGCCGGCGCATACGGATTTGCCTACCTCACGGACGGCGATGACGACAGCGACGATAGCGACTCCAATAAACCGGCATGGTTGAAGTTCGTCTACAAATCGCTCGATTTCGGCAGCGGTCGAGAACGAGGTGCAAGGCAGTAAGCAGTTTTGTTGAATAGAGCAGGCGCGAGTTTGTGGATTCCCACTACAATACAAGTGCAACGCTACAACTTTTCAAATTCTCGTCACAAATAAAACAAGCAATTGATCAGAATTATGATGTGTGAAATGAAAGTAATTTGATGGTGTCTTGTAATTGATTATAAAGTATGACTTTTCGTCGGATCAAATTAGTTTTACGCAGGAAAGCACGGAAGCAGAAGGAGCTCGCGCACATCAGTCACAATTGTTCGAGTAGCAACTAGATGCATTAGGACTTTTGTAGAAGCAGGACAGGATGGTGAAATTGACAAAAAGCCAGTCTATAGAAACAAAAATGGTTTCCTACCGATGTATCCAATTATTTCTTCTCCTCCACTCCCAGTTTGAACTTAGTGTCAACTACTAGTACTGCTTTGCAAGCACACCAATACTTGAGATACACTATGATAACAACAAGAACCATTCTCTACACTGACAAAGGTCTGCTCACTGAGAGTGTTCTGACAACATTTTCCTGGTCAACAACTCATCTCTGTGCAAGAACACTGATGTCATTATCTGCTCACCTTCTGCTGCCATATTTCTTTGGCTTCATAATCTGCCTGCACTAACAATTATAGTGATCTTGTGATTAGTACTTTTGTCTCATTCAAATGCTGTATCCTAAGAAGGAAGCTTGCCATATTTTTGTTTCTTATTTGTTTCTTGCAAATAAAAAATAAATCTGTATTGTAGAGAACAAAACCAGCACCACCACACAGATACATTTTAAAAAAATCATTTGAGCATGTTGGCAGTAGTATCATTACTAGTAGCAATAGTCTCTTGTTCAAGAACACTACTAGTACAGTTTCAGCAGTACTACTAGTAGCACATGCATGGTGGCATGAATCACCGCCACCAACAGATTTTGTTGTTCCAATACTACTGCTACTAGTACTGTTGGTGAACAATTTAGTATCTTCTTCTTCTTCTTGAAGTACTAGTAGTAGTACAACAAGAACAGCAACAATAAAGAGGACCACCACCACGTCACACCACCAACAGCAGAAGCAGTGGTAGTACTAACCAGCAACTGCTTTCTTCGAGGAAATGAACTAGTAGTATTTCCTGATTGGACTCATTTGATGTCACAGGAGCTTCTTCAAGAAGGAATATTACTACTGTGCTTCAATGGGATGTTTTGGCCAGTTCTTTGAGGACAATTGAGGACAACAACATGGTACTACTACTAGTACTACTAGTAGTAGTAATACAACAACAAGCAACAAGTACTGGACTCGTACGATACGATAGCAGCACCGTATTACTGCGTACTACTACTGCTAGGTTCGCACCTTCCGTGCCATTCTGTACAGGAATCTGTGCGGTACAGGAACACTGTTACTCGTGCCTGTTGAGTGAGGCACAGGTTCCCAACGGACAGGACCGAAAATGTCTCAAGTGTCATGTTGATACAATATTTGCTCGTACCTTCTTTCACGCATATCTCGAGCGACGGCAATCGAGGTGCCGATCCTTTTCTCTTGCAACGGAAGGCTCTTCCACGAACGGATCACACAACGTCACCATGCCCCAGCACCGGCGGCGAAGCATGGGGCTCCGTGCCTCCCAGCAGCACCCCGGGGGCAGCAACGACGCGGTGTCGATAGGATCCCCGATACCGACAAGATCGCGTTCCGCCGAACGATCTTCTTCTGCCCTCCAGAGCGGCGGGAGCTGGGATCTCGCCGATGGGATCACCTATTCGAAATCCAACGAAAGCGAGAAGTCCGGGAAACTGAGCACCGGGAGCGCTTCCCACCTGCAGAGGTCGAATTCCGATCCTTTCGACGACGCGGGAGACGAAATAGAAGAAGCCTCGGGCCGCGACGACAAAGCAGGGGAGGAACTTTCGGAGCGAGTGAAGGCTCTACCGACACTGTACAGATTCCCGTGCACAGAAACCAGGAACCAAAATTGTTGGTCCGAGACTCCCAATTCCATGTTTTCGGTCCGTGGCCCAGGATACATGAACGGAGACAAAACCAAGGTTCCGAGCAAGAAGTATATTTTGCAGGCCAGAGGATGCGATTTGTTTTTGACGAACGACCACTCAAAAAGTTCACCCACCATACTCAAGGCCGGATTGGGTGGCAATCTACGAAAGAAGCCAACGTATGTGTTTCGGTTTTTGTTTCCTTGGGGGGTGTTGATTCAATATTATGAAGTGCCCGCTAAATTCGTGCCCTTCATGAAGATGGACATGACGAAACAAGAAAAGAGGGAGTTGAGCATAGAGGGTTTTACAAAGGCAGAAATAGCCCTGGCGAGGTGGATGGCATCGGACGATGCCGAATTCAAGAACGAACGTCTCAAACTCATCGCGATTGTTCCAGAGGGGCCGTTTCTAGTTCGAAACCTGGTGACCGGTAAACCAGCATTGATCGGCAAACGATTGGACGTCAGCTACAAGTACATCCCGCAACAAAATCAATCTTTGCACTGTCTACAAATCTGTGACCTGGATATTTCGAGCGGAACGGCCATTGCCAAGAAAACCGTAAACGTAACGCGGCGATACCTGAGCTCCCTGAAGGCCGTCGACATTGGATTCGTGATCGAGGGGAAAACACCCGCCGAACTTCCCGAAGAAATGATGGGTTCCACGAGGTTGCACCAGGTTGATCCAACACAGGCGCCCACGGTGTGAAAATAGTTCGAAGAAAACAAATGCGCTTCGTTTGTCTCAGATGGCAATCTTTCAAAATAGACTTGCGCTTGTAGACGTAAATTTAAAGCATACTTCAGCACATGGAGCGTCACATCCTCGGGATCTTGTTATGTCATATTCCTAGACGAATGAATCGAACAAACAAACGAATGAAATCACAGTTGTAACCGTACACGAAACTAAACTCGAAACGTCATTAGACGAACGCCCTCTTGCGTAGAAATACGTAGATACTTGAATTACCCCCCTCTCGCTGGACATGATGCCGTAAATCAATTCTACGGAAGATATTTTGTATCAAATATATCTTATCATCGTTTGATATTAGTTCAGAGCTCGAGAGCAAAATACGCACAATCTACTTGGAATAAATTCATTCAATCCCACGCCACCTCATTCATCCTTTTACTCTTAACCAGTAACCAATCCTAAAGTCTTGATACCGACCTGGCTAAGACCGCATGTAGAGCACAGCTTGTTTACCATATCGTCACCAGCGTATTGCGATCCGCAATAAGAGCACGATTTGTACGATGCGCCCGAGTAGATCGGCACCAAGGTAGCACAGTCGATCTTGAACGACTTGGTTTCGTCGTAGTTCAGTTCGTGTTCGTTGCGTGCAATTTGTTCTGACTTTTGTCGTACCTTCATGGCCTTGTTCTTCAGATCGGCATTGCGTTCGCTGCTCATTTCGGGCAATTCTAGCAATCGACGAGCACAGCTCGCTGCAAGAATATAGTTCTTGTGCTTGAACGCGGTTCCCATAGCGGATCGCAAAGCCAATACCATGTGAGCGGGAATAAGTTCACAGTGAGTGAAGTAAGCAGAAAGCTCGGTCGCTCGAACAGGATCTTTTCCGGCTTCCGCCATGGCTCCTTTGATACGGATTCCGGTGATGTATTCGCGACAGACGTTCACCATATGCTTTATTTGCGCCTGTTCTTTCGGATTGTTTGTCACAACCAAAGGAATTTGCGTCAAAACAGCCATAAAGGATGCCTTCGAATCGTTGAATTTACCTCCCTGGAAAAAGCGGTATCCACTCTTCACGCCATCGACCAAATTCTTTGGTGTAATATAGGTTCGAGGTAAAGATGCGTTTCCGGGATGTCCATCACTATCGTTACGCATCAAAGGCAAAGCCATACTTCCACTTCCAGCAATTCCAGGAACACTCATCATAGAACCAGCATAACAACCCATCATGTTCTGCTGCAAGACAGAAAATTCCGAGGCTGCAATTTGACGGTTCAACAACTGCATCGCAGATGACATTCCACCAGCGGCAACGTGATCCGCTGCATGCGACGAGTTTGCCACCCAGCAAGCAGCAGGCGGGCGTCCTGAAGGAGGCAGTTGAAATCCAGAATCATCGGCAATATTGTCGAAGTCATCACCATCCACGTCAAGATCTTCATCATTCCCGAAATCACCAAGATCATCAAGGCCATCATCGTCACCCCAGTCGTCGTCACCGAAGTCGTCATCTGCCGCTGCAAGATCAGCGGCAAGATCGGAATCGTCAACTGCATCTTGCCAGTCATCAGCTAATTCGGAAACAGGTGCGTTTAGTGCCGCCTGAGTTTCGACTTCCTCTTCCTCGGGAACAGCAGCAGTTAGATCCGCCAATGTTGACTTCTGAACTTCGAGTGTCGGCCAATTGTTATCTCGGAATATCGGAGTTGGAGGTTGCAACAAGCGGCCACCACTTCGATCATTCTGTGTCTCAATTGCCAAGGTTTGCTCGAGAACTGTCTGCATTTTTTCTTCTCCTTCATTTGTCTCGATTGCAACTTTGATTCGGTCGGCATCTTCAACTAATCCATGAAGCTTCGCACACATGAAAGCCAAGGGAAGATTTCCACTTGCCTCCAAAACGGCCAAACGCTCAGCAGCGTCACCCAAGAACAAAGCATTGTGGTATCGTCCCATAATATCCCCTCTCATGTTGGAAATCTTCAACATCTTGCGGAGTTTTTCTGTATCACCAGTCATAAGATACAAAAATGAGAGTCGATCAAAATCTTTTGTGCGTTGATAGGACATTTCAACCATTTCATAGTTTCCTTGGCGCAGTGCCTCAGCACCCAGTTCACTCCAGATTTCTCGTGTTTCATCAGTTGAGGAGCCTCCTTCGATCTCTGAGTTTTGTTGAGTCTGATTTTCCAGTGCGAATGCAGACTCCATTGCAGCTTCGATATCTCCGCACGCCAAGGCAAGCTTGAATCTAGTCTTGGGTTCGCGGACGAAATGCAAAGCAACTTCGGGGAACCCTCTCTGTTGCAAATACGCAACAATGGCACGACCACATAGACGAGAATGGTTCACCATGTGCATGACACGGCCGTACTTCTTGTTGGCCAAAGCAAGCTTGAATCGTGCTTCTGTGGTATCGATAGCGATAACTCTAGCCCGCGCTTCACGGTCCAAACAATGAAGTTGGTCCTTTACGACACGCACGGCATAAATTGGGGTTTCCAGTGTTCGGATCGTTCCACTATCTCCCGATGGCAAGCAATACTTGATGTGGTTAAGGGTAGTGTAAACGAACAAGTTCGATGCGGTGCCATCCGACGATGGGGAGCAGTCCCAAGCACCGCTCTTGATACGGACGTTGTCGGAAACACTGCAGAGCTGTTCGAGTTGCCGATCGGCAATGACGACTCCGTACTTGCAGACAATAGCGACCTTCGATCCATCGGGACTCCATACGACCGACTTGATTTTCGGTGCAGTGAGCTCCCCGAGGATGCGTCTGGATTGTACTTCAAAAAGAATGGCGCGGTCGTCAGCGCGCAACAAGACACGTCCGGAGGCTCCTCCGTCCAATAGAGCGTCCACATTAGCAACCGGAGGTTGCACGCGCTTAGTTGTTTCGTTGTCAAGATTCTTTACGATGATTTGGCGTTGGTGTCTGTCGAGCACTGCGAATCGGTTGCGTCCCAAAAAGACAGCAGGACCCAAGCACGCGCCTCGCTTTCCATCGGTTACATTCGCCCCATTAAATGTAAGAAGTTCGTAGCTACCGCCATCGATATCGCTGCATACCAAAACGTTGCCCTCGCTAGGGTTGTGTGCATTGTACACCAAGGTTCGGGGAGCCGACCCAATTCCATCCGTTTGGGCCTGTTGTCCAACTCTTCGAAGGGAAGCAATAGGGATATCATTTCCAGAGCCATCTCCTCGGCTGTAATCACGAGCGAAGAGTTCCCGGCCTCGAACGTAGTACAGCTTCGAACGAGGAGCATTGTAGCACATGGCAGGACGCTCTCTCTCGAGCTTGAAGACAATCATTCCGGAATCGTGCCCGGCCGCTAAAAGATTCTGGTTGGAATGAGCGGCCAAGATCCAAAATCGATCGCCTTCTCGTCGAAACGTTTGGACGCCAACACGCTTTGAAACATCCCAGACACGAATGCTTCTATCCTCACTATTTGAAACAATCAAATCATGTTTGGGGTGGAACAAACAACTGCTCACGTTGTTAGCGTGTCCGCGAAGGGTATCGACTTCCCAAGCTTTGGTTTCCGACATTCGCCACAACTTCACCTGGCGGTCATCGGCGGCACTTGCCAACAACGGCAGAGTGGGATGGAAACACGCCCAGTTTACGCCACGATCGTGTCCCTCCAAGACATACTTGACAACGACGTCATTCGTTCCAAAAAGTTCGGCCTGAACATTCATGGCAGCGTTTGTCGTAGCTGAGACCTGTGGTCCACGCATGGGATCCATAACGTCTTGTCCCGTTTGTTTCTTTCGGAGTCCAGTAGTGTCCCAAACTCTGACGGTTTGATCCAAGGAAGCCGAAACAATCAAATCTTCCGAGGGATGGAATGCCGCACACATTACATAGTGGTTGTGTCCTGTTAGGACGCTCAAACAACTACGTTTCTGGAAATCCCACAACCGCAATGTTTGATCATCACTGGCGGACAAGATCCAGGGAAACTTGGCCGGATCTGGGTGGAATTCAACCGTACGGATGTAATCAAGATGACCGAGCAACGTGAAGAGGCATCGACGCAATTTGTAATCCCATACCTTAATTTTGTAATCATCACCTCCACTAACAATCAGAGAATCAGTTTTGTGGAAATCAACTCCTCGAACAGGTCCATCGTGCTCTTCGAATCGATCGATGACGGTCCCAACTCGATAATCCCAACTGGAGTTGTGTGGTATTGTAATTTGTTGTCCAATTGATAATCATATGGATCAGAAAACAAATATGAGTGAGTAAAAACGTTATCACGAGGCTATACCCGGAGCGAAAGAAACAGAAGCAACCAGCAATGACCCGGGTCAAATCCCGCAGTTACGAGAAACACAGGTGGTATCAGTCCTTGTGCAGCCAGCGACAAGTAGTAGGAAACTGTTGAAAAAAAAGAAGCAAAAGGACAATCGAACGCAGTGATATCTTATCGAATACGCACAGCTGGATGACACCATTGTGCAAGGAGGCGCACACCCAGGGGCGTACTGGGTGGAAGGCCAAACCCTTGACGCGAGCCGATTTCGATTCAAACTTCGTCAGCATTCTACTGGGCTGTTTGTTTTCGTTTGTGTAATGCTTTGTCTTTGTTTGTTAGGGCTTCAGAGTGACTTTAGTTTGTTGTCCAGTGCTCGGGTCCAAGAAGATAATATGATAGACGACGAGTGTTGCGTTCGCGTTGATTTTCATGAAGTTCGTACCAAAGCAAACAATCAGTAACAATAATGACCCTATCGGTACTCTTTGATACGAGAACGTTATGGTACGTCGGTGTACCTAGGGGTAGTGCTATTGCTGCATTATGGTACCGGTACCGGTACGTAATTTTTCTGCTCCGAGATACTGTATTGGCAAATCATTTTTTAGCATCTGAAAAATCACGAAAGAGAACTAATTTAGTACGTTTAGGTAAAATGGCATTTTGGTCATTCCCGACAATCAATTAATCTATGCTAAATTGACTACGCAAGGGAGAAAATTCAAATTTGCATTTAAGTACAAATTTAGTCCCTTACGTGTTAAATGCATGCAATAAACTGCCCAATCTACAGAGCAAATGTAATTGTAGTGTAAAATAGCAACTAAAGATCAGATCAAGACCTAGTTTTTGGTAGAATTTATCTTAACATCCTTGCATCCTAATGAACATGTTGGGTTCAGTGGGTAGATGGGTTATACAATTTTTATGCTGAAACTACTGGTATAAGTAGGAGGTCCTAGTAGTATCAGTAGTAGTACTAGTAGTAGTACTAATTTGCATTAAAGTACAAATTTAGTCCCTTACTTGTTAAATACGTAGTTTTTGGTAGAAACGTTGCAATTTCTCCCAGTTGCATTTTCTCCCTTGCGTAGTTGACTTCGTACGTACCATACGGTACTAGATTTGATAGACAGACGGAAGGAAAAAATTGCATCTGGATTAAGTCTTTCAAGTGGAAGTCGAACCTTCATCTTATTACGCAAGCCATGGGGCTACGGTATCACCAACTAAACTGCTGTTACTACTTGTATTTTTCAAAGAAACAGCATCTATTGGCAATCTGTATTTCTTGGTAAAAACATATACTAGTCCTAAAAACAGCCATTCATTTTGTGCTACAGTCTACTACTACATTAAAAAAACTTCATACCTGATTTTACTAAGAAGTAGTATTTTTTTCCTCAGACTCCCCATTTTTATGGACTATTCCAGTCAAAAATCTATTCTGATCTTTTTTATGATTGCACACCCCAACTCTTTCTACTAGTAGTAGTCATAAAGGAACCATTTCAGATTCCATGACAATGGGTTGTTCATCAATGTCAACCAATGTGGTTGTGTCCAACATTGACACTGTGTTGCTTGATCCTCTACAAGACCTCCACACCCTCATCATTGATGTGACCTTTCAGCACTGGATTAAAGGTTTCCTCTCCAGTTCCAATATTTGCCTTTATTCCAATCAAACAGTGGGCCTCTCTTGCAAGCTGGACCGACTCAGGGTCAATGGGTTCCCAGTAAGTGCCTTCTGTCTCCTCAATTGATTAAACTTGATTTTAATGGAATCCTTTGTTCTACCATAGGGATAGCTTTGTCAATGTCTTTGAACCACCACAAACCAGTCACCCTTACCAATGGGGATGATCTCCTTGATGAGAGTCATCAATGAGGTCTTCCAAGTAGTTTGTAGTACTGACCTTATTCTCCAACCCTTCTACTTTTGGTTGCCCTCCTTGAGAAGGGACTGGTGGAGGCAAGCTGTCCATGTTACAAGTGCTGGGATTAGTAGTATATGGACCAGTAGTCATGTTTGTGAATAGTATTGTGAGAGGGATGCCGCCCCCCCCCCCCCCCCCTCCTTGTCTCAAGGCGTCTTTGAGACAAGAAGACCTCCAGTAGTTGCGCCTCTCTTTGTTTTGATCTAAGATATAGAGTAGCTGTGACTAAGAGACGGAACATTTTTGTTGTCTTTTTATGATGGCGCCGGTGCCTTCTTGTCGCCTCTAAGAGACAGGCACAATGTTCTATTACTAGCTAAAAAAATATTCACCAGTCTTAAATTTGGCAGGCATTTCCAGTTGAGTCTTACAACAGATTTTTATTCTTGGATTCCAGTCTAGATTTAGACTTTCTGTCAAGGGTGAATCGAGCGTTGACAGAAAGTCTAAAAATTTGGACTAGATGGTCTATATTCCGTCTGTCCGCATGTCAAAAAGTAGACCATCTAGATTAACGGGAATGACCCATGAAATTAGAACCAATCAATCTCGACTAAATATACCCATACATTGAAATAATGCATCATTCCTGTTCTAAATTTTCTAAATTTGATCATCTGAACTGACAGATGCCCAATTTAGATTCACTCGATCTGTACCTTCAGACGGTATTATCACGAATGAACAGAAACAAGCTCGTTGGAGTACGTGACACAAATTCATATTTCTCTTTTCTACAAAACATTATGTAGCATAGTTTTAAAAATCCTGCATTTGTATCTATTATTATTTTATGGTTCGTGTAATTTATCCGTGGTAATCCTTGTAGCATCTTGGTTCATGATTAGCTGTCTATCAATCGGATACTTTCCCCCCCTAGAAATTAATGAAATTCAGTGTGAATTTACCAATTTTTTGTTTTCCTCGTTGCTAAAACTGCCTCGTGGGATTCATCGGATGGATTATGTTTTGATCTAACGCACTTCGCATCAGTCAGCATTAGAACATAACATCATCTGTGCTGATTGCGATCGGACTTGATGCCATTCTCATTTGGTGCGTGCTTCGTAATGCCGCCAATATATGGCTTTTCATTTGTCAATGTAAGGACCGTCGATTGAAATCGTTATCGTCTGAGTCGTGGTCCCCGCCTCCATCTCCTGGGCCTGGGGTCATTGTCACATTGTTTGGTGACTCATCGTTATGTTGCAAGCTCCGGGAATTATTTTCAGGAGTACGGAGAGCCATGTTTGTTGGGTCGTTGTAATATTGAATACCCATCGGTTGCAGCTGCGGCTGGTACATTGGATGATAAGCCATCCACGGTTGTTGTTCCGACTGTACCTGACTTGAGTGATGTTGTGAAGGATGCATTGGTGGTGGTCCAGCAGGCGGGTGTCCGGATGCGATCGGAACCTGACTGTAACTTCCAAGTGGGCGCTGCAGTTGAGGTACGGTTGAAACTGGCGGTGACGGACTGAGATCCAGACGTTGTGACTCATGCTTGCCATCCGGTTCAAACTCGCGACGAGGTTTTTTCCGACGCATCGCAGCTGCTTCTCCAGCTGTTACCGTGGGGGATCGCGGAGATCCTCTGCTCGTAGCTCCTGGTGAGGCAATGTCCGGTGCGGGAGAAATCGGGCTCTCCGGTACTGTGACGTATGGATGTGGGTGTGATGCAGAATGAGAAGGTATTGCAGTATTGGGGTAAGGCCATAAATGACTGGTATATTGAGGTGGCACTGCTGTATCCTTGTGTAATGGTGTCAATGGATTATAGGGATACGGATGATGCGATGGCTCGTTTCTTTTTCTTGTACCGTGGTATGTTGATATTGATTGACCATCAGCAAGGTTGGCTGGACCTACAGAGTGACGGTTGTATGAATCGAGCGAAGACGCCGTTGGAGGATGGAGAAACAATGAATCTGCTTCTCTCTTCGGTATTCGTACAGTGGAAGGTGCAACGGGAGCATGAGGTAAGTTAGGACCTTGAGCGCCCTGAATAATTGCTGTGCCTGCCAATGAACATTTTTGCTCTTGCGTAGCAACCTGAGGCTGGGGCGCCCAAACACCTCTTGAAGAACTCTCATCTTCTGGCAAACGTTTTAGCCAGTTCATCACGATTGATTCGTCATTAATCTGAATGAGCATGGTCCTGCTTTCAGGGATGTCATTGATATCAAAGTCACTCCCACTATCCTTGGTTTTTCCAACTTCTGTATTTTGTTCGACGGAAATATTTTCACAGTTCTGAATGGCTGCCGTTGACGAGTCCAGAGTGTTCGTCTTTCTCATGGTATTTTCGTCTCTAGGCCCCTCAAATTTTGTACTCGGGGCGGCAGACACCGTCGAAGGATCTGCAGATTCCTGTGTGCTCAACATAACGTAAACAGTGCACCAAGGTAGTTTCCGGTGTTTGTGTCGGTCTCTACAGAATGATCTCGTTCGGTTTGTTTTTTTACATGTGGAACACACAGGAACCTTGGACTTGGGTGGAAAATCTTCTATTCCGCAAAAGGGTCGACATTGCACCATTCGAACAACAAATGGCTTATCGACGTATTTGCCACTTTCGTCGGTGCACGACTCATCTATTGTCATGCAAATGTACGCGGTAGTCCATGGTGGACGGGTATGTTGATTCCGCACTCTGCAATTATCTTTTGTTTTAAAATTCTTCTTACAAGAACGGCACACGGGCAATCGAGAGTCCGGAAACTTGACGTTCAATGTCTGTTTGAAACCCGGTGGAGTGAACGTCAACACATTCTACAAAGACAAAACGCAACCAAGTGAGGAAAAATTAGGAAAATCGAACTCATTTCTACCCTTGAGATATGTTAGGACTGCGAAGAATATTTTCAAGGTTGTTTCTTACCCCAAAAGACTTCGAATGGGGAAACATTATCTGTTGCTGTCCACAAGTTATTCGTGGTTCCTTTTAGAGAGGTCAATTGAAATAAAGATTGCGGGACATGTGAAAAAGATTGCAAGTATTATCATGTGAGTGAATATTGTTTGTGCCACTTTTCTCGTGATTCTTCGCGGTGCTTGTGACTCCTACAAAACGGCCTCTGTCTCTTTCCCAGTCCGATATCCTTGCATGTATTTCACATTTGTTGACAACAGAGCGAATTGCCAATTCGTACGGTAAGCTGTCTTTTCAAATGTTGAAGCCAGGTTGTACACTAGCAGGAGAGCATCATTTTCGATAGAAAGCCGGGCAACACAAAAACAGATTGGAATGCAAATAGATTTTATTGGTTCAGTGCACTCATCCGTCATCGATGGTGAATTCCAGCGCGGAAAAATAGTCGGAGGTGCAGAATCCAGTGCCCAATCAGATGAAAGATACGCAGTGGGTAGGACCCAATAAAAAAGATCCGCACGGTAACGAAGCTGTACTTCGTGGAAACAACTTCCCCCAATCAATTCTGTACGACGCAGTACAAGATGACGTGTAGAAATATCACAAAAGAATTTTGCAATTGGGGGAAATACAGAAGGAAATGGGGAAAAAGAGTTCCAATGGGCCTAAAAAACTCAGGACGACCATGGCTGTTTTTTCTCGTCTTCGAAAAAATCATCGATTTTCGAGGCCCAACACATCCACAACAATACGATACTATTTTCTATGACACTGGAAAGGTTTGGTTCTGTTGCGTGATGCTACTGGGGCAACTGATTCGTATGCAAGCTTCCGCGGGCCTCGCAGGTTTGAGCTGTGATGCAGCAAAACGCGAAAAAACGATGGTTCCTCGAAATTCCTTACCTTTGGGTCTCCCTGGAGTGTCGAATAGGGCGGGAGGTTTGTAGGCATGACTTTTCGGTTTGCTGATTGAGGGTAAATCAACCTGTTGTCACGCTGTATGTGCTCCCTCTACCCCTGCCAACCCACGGCCGTCGTCTCGGTTTACTACACCACCGGTTGTAACACTAGGGTGGATTTTAAATGTGTCCAACGGCCTGTTGGCAAAAATCTGGGCACCCCAGGATATTATTTTCTGGAGGTCGGGCGGCGAAAAAAATGTCTTACACTTGAGTTTGTGTTTGGTGCTCGCGCGAGTCCGAAGTACAGTACGTAGTCCCTGAAATTTCGGATGCGAAGAACACTAAAAACGAAAATAAACGGAGTCGAAAAAATAAATACGTCGTCAACCATATTTTTAGTACCGGTAGGTACGAACCCTTTACGATATCATTGCATTCTATCATCTGCAAGAGGAATTAGTCCTCGTACTCTACGGTACGTACGTATGTAGAGACTATTAGTATCGTATGTACTTGTAACCAGGGTTCATAATTTAGAGTGGTGCGTGCGCTGCATGCGCATCGCGTCGAAACTCATATTCCACGTGTGGTCCAAATTTCCAAGAAGTCACGCAAGGAATTTTTTAATCCTCATTTTTACTGGATAATACTAGTAAAACTATCCAACCTTTAAGCAGTTACAGCTTTATCAAAAATACTACTTCTACTACTAATTCAATTGTTGAGTAGCCAGTCTACACCAGTTTTTAATGATGATTCTGAATATACCATTTTGTTGGATATTAAATTGATATTTGTGGTACTATTTTACTATTGAAAAATGAACATCATTTCCATCATACTAGTACTACTGGTGCTAGTACTACTAGTTGTAATAGTAGTTGTAGTACTAGTACTAGCTACTACTACTTCTACTAGTATGATCAGTTTCACCTTATTACCAGTTGTAACAGTAGTAATAACAGTAGTAGTAACAGTAGTAGTAACAGTAGTAGTAACAGTAGTAGTAACAGTAGTAGTAACAGTAGTAGTAACAGTAGTAGTAACAGTAGTAGTAACAGTAGTACTAGTAACAGTAGTACTAGTAACAGTAATACTAGTAACAGTAGTACTAGTAACAGTAGTAATACTAGTACTAGTAACAGTAGACAGTAGTACTAGTAATTGTACCTTGGGTGACTTTTTGGAAATTTTGACCACATGTGGAATATGAGTTTCAATTTTTTCACTCACACTTCGCCATGCACAAAAAATTCGATGTGCACCCCTCTAAATTTATGACCCCTGCTTGTAAACCTTTCTTTTAACCTGCTTTGTGACTTGTGACTTTCTCATGTCCCTCACATGTCTGAATTTACAGTACAACTTACTGGTACGAGTACCTATTAGACTTGGTAATTCCAAGAAGGGGTCCATGAGGATGGGCTGAAAATTTCCATGGCTGATATCATGAAGCTTTTAGTAGTAGTAGTAGTATTTTTACTGCTAATTGTTGTTGTAAATGCAAGAAATATGAAATACTACCACTACTAGTAGTAGGACTGAGTGGAGTGCAACAACAACAACAACAACAAGTAGTACTAGTAGTACTAGTACTAGTATCTACTACTACTAGTAGTAGTACCACCACTTCATTAGATGTGGAGATAGTAGTAGTAGTACCACCACCAATTGGTCCTGCATCTGATTTTGCTCAGTCACCAGTTCCAAAGAAATAAGCAGGACAGTATTACTACTACCAGTAGTACTACTAGTAGTACTAGTCCTGTCCCTAGTACTAGTACTGGAAAAACCTCAATGAGGACAGTAGTATGAGGAGGTACTACTACTAGTAGTAGTCCAATCCTACTATTAGTACTACTAGTAATAGTAACAGTCAAGAATTATTCAACTGGATACATCAAATATATTTGCAAAGCTGCTCTACTCTCCTACAGAATCAGCTACTACTACTATTTGACTGGTGGTTTTGAAACCCACCCTGTTACTACTACTAGCTAGTATAGAAGGTCACCATGCTGATGGAAGAGGTGTGGCCTGAATGTGCAGAGTAAACAACATTTGGATCTTCCTAAGATAAAAGAGAGAAAATCCAACATGCTGATACAAAATGATGTTCAAAATTTGTGGGAAAAATGGTTTGGATAAAACTGTAAAATTTTTATTCTTCAGTAAGCCATACTAGTAGTAGTAGCCCTCACTTTCCTTTCTCTTAGAAAATAATTTATGATGCAGCACATGAAGTATGTAATGATAAATCAAATGATTTGGTCAATTTTTTGCAGGATCTAGAATATATTAGCTTTTCACACAAACTTTTCATGATCTTAGTTTTAAACTGAAATAAATATGTGCTGGAAGCAATTAAAGCTTGAAACCAAGAACCAGTGCTACCATATTATATCATTTTGAAATATCATTTAGTACATGCTTGATGTTATTTGATAAACTTATTTGTACTACTAGTACTACTGGAACTTAGTACAAGTCAGGTGCCTTCACCACCACATCACTGCTATGAGTAAGAAAGGAATTTCTAGAACAAAATGTTGTAGTATTGACCACCTGGCTGTTTGCTCTGAGGACATCATTATCAATATTTGGATATGGACCAAGCAGTGACAGATTATTCTAGTAGACTGATTTGATGTGTAGATTTACTCTTTTTTTAAGAAAAAATTCATGCTGCTACTACTAGTACTACTACAATCATCAATATTCTGATAATATTGCTTGTAGTAGGCATTAATCCAGCAGGAGAATGGGAGTTTAAATGTTAGGTATACTTAGTACTAATTCCAGAATTAAGAATGATAGTATCAACAAGACACATCGTAGAACTACTAGAATATTACATTCATATCAATTAATGTTTCTAATCACTCACATAGTATCACTACTACTTGACACATTTTGGTGTTATCAATGGCACTAGTCCTCTGTTGTAGGAGTTTGACCTGGAACCAAAGAAAAAAATCCTATCTTGCATGACAGAGAGCTACTAGTACCAGTAGTAAGAGTACTTCAGTGCATTCAGTTAGGGACTGATGTTCCTTCCTGTCGCAATGAGCAAGGATAGTTCTTTTGCATTTTTCTATTTTGCCATACTAGAAAACTTGGTCTGATGTTGAAAAATGAATGCCTGTATGAACAATATTAGTATTAATGATATATTTTGCAATAACATTTTGGTCTTTTTAGTACATGTACATCATGGGTGTAGTTTTGCTGATTTGGTATCAAACAAGCAGCACCAGGAGCTAAAAAAATACAAAACCCACATGTAATCAGTTGAACCAGAAAATGGACTAACACAATGAGTTGAAAAGGTACTAACAGAAAGGAGAGCTACCAAAATATTGAGGAGTATTGACATCAGAAGGTGTGGTTATGATGGTGAGACAGAACCTATGAGGACAGGGGAAACCATAGCAGGCTAGATGTCTTACTCCCTTGATGAGGATAAGACATCAGGCTAAGCCTTCCTTTCTTGGTGTGGTTCCTTCTTCACCTCATCCTGTGGAGCCTGAGCAAGAAGCATCAGAGCAGAGATTCTTCACTGAAGAATCAAAAAGCTGCTATACACCACATTGTCCTAGCAACCATTGCCCAGGCAATGATACAATTGCTGTAACAACAGTGTTATAACCTGCAGCAACAATGCTGAGATTGTACAGAGGGTCCTCCCTCTGACCTTCATAAATGGACAGGTTCTATTTGGACTGATAATCCAAAATATATGCTCAGTACCTGATAGTAGGTGAAAACATGGCTGACCTTAGTAATAGGTAGGAGCCCTGCTGTAGTCTGGAAGACAAATATGAAGCAGGCCTAAAAATTAAGGTTTGTTCACCAGGGACCCATCCTACTAGTAGCAGTATCCAACATCTTCAAAAAACGCCTCTCCCCCTGATATTCAATTTTCTTTGTTTTTCTGAAGTGAATCACTTTACTCTCTTCTTAAATCTCTGCAGACTCCAGTACTACAAATCCTACTAAAAAAGGGAATATTTTCTTCCCTTTCTTTTGACTGTGCATTTGTGAGTGGCAACATTTGGCAACACATGATGAGAAAAAGTTAAGTCTTGTAGAAGACACTGGAAAAGCAAGGAGGGAAAGAAGAAAAACAGACAGAAAGAAAGTGCTAGGAAGGTTATTTTCAATTGCTTCAACAGCACTGAGGGCTTGTTGTTATACTCACTAGAACAAACATGGATCAGGCAAAGTTGAAACAGATGGGGCAAAGCCAAAGTAGTGCCCAATTCATAGTAGGAAGGGGGGAAATTGCTGCATGTACTACTTGATTCATATGTGTGCAACAACAAATTGTAATATTAGTCCTACTGAAAGCAGCGTGATCCATTCTTAGAAGGATTAATGTGTTATCTTATACTAGAGTTGGTATATATCTACAACACTTTCATGGATTTTGGGCCCTTATTATGCTGCGTGTAATGACTAGTTTGACTTAAAACTGACTTGTACTACAGTTTATACCAGACAGGCACATGCTGCTTTTTTAATCTCACAAATAGAAGTGTCACATTCATGTGCTCCAACTGCTGGGTTTTGCTTCAACATATGCTACTACAAGTCCAAATTTTTAATCCTACAAGTCATTACACAGTAAATTTATAGCCCAAAATCCGTGCACAGCAGAAAAACACATAGAAAATTAACTTAGGGTCAACTCACTCTAACAGCCATATCTTGGTCCCCAACACACACTTAGGAATGTTAGGCACAAAAATTGAACGACATTAAAGAGAGAAATATAGTTATATGGGGGAGTTTGGGGGGTCTTAATGATATTGATGGATACTATAGTACATGTACAAGTAAACTACATTAAAAATGTGCAATTTGATTTTCTTTTTTTTAGCCCCAACACTATGCAATAATGAAAACAATACTGTCGTCTTTCTTATCCATTGCTCTGCTCATTACTCACAATTATTGATTGACTGAAAAGACGTTCCAACCACCCCTTCATGTCACTTTGCCAATTCTCACTGACTCAAGAATCCAACAACAACAAAAATCAACCACAATAGTTACGGGATTCCAAGTAGTAGTCAACAACAAGAACCAACCCATTCCATCTTGTCAATATTCCATCTGATAGACCCTTGATATGCCCACTCTCCTCTCACCCACTA